TATATATATATATGTATAACACTACTAACTATAAAAACATATAGATCTGTACATGTTGCTATTTTATATAGGTATGTATGTACATCATTTGATTCTGCCCGAACCAATGCGAAACGAACGAGATTTTCGATCCATCAAATTGCAAATTGAATGCACTCTTTTCAGCACTTCGACCAGCAACTGGTCAACTTTTGTCTTTCGTCATTTTACGCCCAACGTGGGCGTGATTCTCTTGGGCAAAGGTAACCCCAGGTGGACATGGTTGGTCTGTTGGCCCAACATGGCAAATGCTTGCTGAGAGTAGATATTGCTATAGCTGCTCTATCCATCTATCTATATATGTACGTATGTATATGGTATATGCTACATATAGCTATGTATTTTGTTTGTTTGTTTGTTTGTTGGTTTGTTGTTGTTGTTTATAAGTAATACTGAGATTCTGTCGTTTAGTTTTGTGTTTTGCAATTGTGAGCTCAAATATATATAGATGTATATTTCGATTGGAAATTGCTTTCGACTTGACTCTATTATTCAATCACTGTCGACCTATATATATAGCTGTTCTATTATGCCTAAGTAACGCTGCCACCCCCCCGCCCCCCATATGCCCACATGTGCTTTGTACAGATGAGCCCTACGACTCGCATTAACTAAAAGTAAATTGTACTGTTTTGTATTTTGTTGTTGTTGTTGTTGTAGTTGTTTTCTTGGTTATTTCACAGTGAAATTTGGTTAGGTCTATTTGCCATGTTCCAAGCCATTTCCAAACCCGTTGCCATGCCATTCGCAGCTGTATAACCCATTCCCATTCCCATTCCCATTCCTAGTCCCGTTCCCGTTCCCATTCCCGTAACTAAACCTACGCTCCTCCACTCTCTGGTCAGATGTCGTTGTCACTTGGGCTGGATGCACGCGGTGCGTTCGAGCTCATTGAACTGGCCAAAGAAGAGCACCTCGCTAATCAGTTTCTCGGCAATGATGCGCTGCGTACGATCCATGGTGCGCAGCTTCATCGACACATTGGAGCCCACGAAATCACAATCGTCCCGGCTGAGACTCTCTGCGTATAGCGCAGCAGCCGCTGCCGCCGTCGAGCTGGCGTCCTGGGCCGAGACGCTGCTCTTGATGTGGCCAGGACTAGCTGCCGACTCGGTTGCCTCATCATTGTCGTCGCCATCCGACATGCTAGCCCTCGAGCTGAGCAGGGAATTCATCAGCATGTGGCCGGCACTGGAGCCGGCCGTCAGTTTGCGCATATTTAGGGGCATGGAGGCAGCCGCCGCTGCCGCTGCCAATTGGGCGCTGCTGCTGCGCGGCGGCAGCACGAACTGGCCGAAATTGGCTTGAGCTTTGGCCTGGGCAACGCGCAAGTCCTGCGCCATGTCCAAATGCAGGCGATTCTCCTCGCCGGACGAGCTATAGGAACGATGTGAGTCAGGCGGCGGCGGAGCTGCTGAAACGGACGGCGGATGGAAGTAATCAACGAGCTCCTGCTTAATATCTAGTTCATCCTGATGCTGGCGCAGCGTATGGTGCTGCAGCGTATGATGGCCATGATGCAGCTGCTCATGCGCATGCCGAGGCGTCACGGCACGCACCGAGCCCGGACTCGATTTCAGTAGGTGATTCTTATGCGCCTCGTGTATGTTGGTGTTTGTGTTGGGTATTGGACTAGAACCGGCCTCGCTCAAGGCGGCCGCAATGGACGCTGGCTCGGCGACAGGATGTTCGCCAGCATCCAGGGCGTTACCGATGCCGCCGTCTCTGCTGCCGCTGCGGCTGCCACCGCCCATATTGGAGGATAGCGGCGGGGAGCGACGCTCCACTTTGGCCGCCAGCTGCCCCAGCGCCGTCGCCGTCGCCGTCGCCTCATCTCTCATARTGTTATCCTCGTTATCCGATGTATCGATGGTTTTATGGGGACTGGGCTGGAAATCGCTGCTACTGCTGCCACCACCACCAGCACCTGCTCCACCGCCGACCGCATACGGCGCACCACTGGCACCACCGGCACCACCAGCACCATAAGACATTGGCAGAGAAACGCGCAGCTGCTGCTGCTGCTGCTGTGCATTGGGCACCACGACTCCTGTACCACCGCCACCTATCGGCGGCGAGTATTGACCCGCCGTATTCCAATTGTCCATCGATTGACTATTTGCTATCAGCATAGGTATATTTAGGCCCATCTACGAAAATAAACAAAGTGATTCAAATTCATTAGTTACGGTTATTATATAGTTCTAAAGTGTTCAGATAACTGCGGCTAAGATAATATGTGGAGCATATGGGATTGCCAGGGTGATAGTTTGTCCTAACAATTTCCCTAAGTTCCATGAAGCCACAGAAAAGTCCATAATGGTAATGAGGCTAATGGTTTAAATATCAATTAGAAAAAGCCCAGATCGATTAGATTACAAATTTTACTAAATCATAATGAATACGTGGAAATACACCTTCAAAACGAGTACACCACCCAAAATACTGAAAAGATAAGTAATTGTTGCTTACCAATAAAATATACGCTCATTATATGAAGCTTCTTATGAAAGCTATTCTACGACAACTATTCTGGTAGCTCTACATATCTTTAAAACACAATCTATTTTCGACTACAGTTGTCCCTATACGAAAAACCTACATTCATGTATTTAATATGATAGTCAGGTAAACAAAATTTAATCGCGAATTATTCATAGGTTTCAAATCAACTTTAGTTTATGAAGGTCGTGCATATCACACACACATATGTATGTATAAGTGTGTGTAGGAAATGATGTTGTCAGGACTAACATAAAACAGGGAACTTCACATAGTATTTATGCATATATCAATATCACACCGAAATGCCAACTTCCTATATATCACATACACGTTCACAACTTCTAGCAGTATTTTTTTGTTTTTGCCAATTTATATTATTAAAACAGTGAATTGTTGTGCTTAAGCAAATTTAGTACAGTTTTTGTTGTTACAGTTCCAGCAGTTGTAATGCTGCGGTGCGGCGATACCATAGGCTGGTTACTTTTATGGCTTTTACTGTTATAATGCATAGTGCAAATATGAAATTTTCGCACATTTGCTGCGATCGAACGACGCGACGACAACGACAACACAACTCATATTGTCGAAAAATTCTAGCGGCGTAGTAAGTTTTAAAAAGCGACATCATAACGTCACACACAAACAGAGAATGAGAGAGAGAGAGCCAACAGCAAGCGTCAACGAGAGATACCTCTACAGTTTGTTGTTGCTTGCACATTATCATGTATGCCGATGCGTATGCATGTGTATGTCCAGAAGGAGAGAGCGCGAGAGCGCATCACTGAGAGCCTTCTAACGGCGCAACCTATAAACCCGATGTGAAGAAGAGAAGCGCACAGGAAAGATGAAAAGCTAAGTYAACGACGACAGCGGCAGCAGCAGCAATGGTATTTCATTAATATTAACAACCTACCCCACGTTGGTGGGGCGAACGACAAACGACATGCTAATAATGTACATAGTCATGAGCGATCATTCCGCACTCATTCGTTTCTCTCTCTCTCACTCTCTCTCTCTCTCTCTGTGTGTGTCTTTGAAACTTGCTGCGTCTTTAGCCGCAGGCGCCTAGAACTTTCTACAAATTTACAAAAAAACAACAACTGCCCAACTACTCGATTCGTTGTTTGTGTCGTTGCCGTTTTGTTTTGTTGTTATTTTTATTGCTGCAGCTGTTTTTGGTTGTTGTTTTGTTTACGTATTTAGAGCTATTGTGCATGTGTGCGTGTCTGACTTGTTTTTGCGTGCCTCAACAGACAGAGTCGCCAGCCAAACTAAATTAACTCTCTCGCTCTATTTATATTTATACATACAGATGTTTGTATGTAATTATATACGCGTGTGTGTGTGTATGTGTCTGTTAGCTCGTGTGTGTGTGTGAAAATTTGCTCTCCATGCCTGTGTGGTCGAGTGAAACTGAAAAATGTAAACAAACTGATTATCAGCAAGCCAGCGAATAAATATAAATAACACAATGCTGGCCAACAACTCCAAATACTAGCTATATATTGTCTAATCCTTTTGGCACCCCTCTTTCATCATCTCTAATTTCAGCGATTGTCGTTTTAGTTCGTCGTCACGCAAATGTTAAAAACGACTATACGACATTTTTGCACATAACGCACATGCACACACACACACTCATACAGTCAACTGTTACAGTTACACTAACAGAACTGCACCAGTTGCCTAAATGTAAGCGAGCATCACTAAATCGCGAGTTTGCCATGTCTTTCATAAGTTTATGTGCATACATATTTCCTATTGGGAAATTATTATTATTACTTAAATAGATATGTACATTATATATTACAAATAAATGAAATAAAAAACTACATACATGTATGTATAATATCTATATTAAATGATCATTATTGAAAGTTATCAAAAAATTAGGATGTTAAATGGCCCAAATCATAATAATTAACTAAATTCGCTCACATTTATCAAAGCCCCAGTTCCCTCTATCGTACAGCAAATCTGAACAATCTGTCATCAAATCTCCCTCTCTATAACATTTATATTCGCGTGCTTTGGGCTTATCAAAAACTCACCCTGTAAGCAACTGCAGCAAAATAGACCAAATTCTTGCAAAACTTTCACAAAAACAAAACTCCACCTAACCTTTTTTTTTTGGACCTTTACCCCACTGCTGGAGCTGTTGTTGTTGCTATTTGCTTTTTTTTTTTTTTTGCCTAGCTGGCAACGCTGCGCGCATAGCTAAGCAACTTCGCAATGAATGAGTAAACAAAAGCAAACGCTGGCGTCGCAGCTGCAGCCAGCTGCGCTGCCTCGCTGCCTGGCTGCCTGGTTGGGTCTGTGCTTTTGGTTGCATTGCTTTGACTACTGCTGCTTATTTGCGTTTGCACTGCTCGGTACCGCCCTGCCCCGCCCCACCGTAGCCCAATTCTACTCTGCTCTGCTCAGCTCAGCTCGGCTCGGCTCTGTAGGGGGCCCGCGCACCAGGCGCTTTATAAAAGCGCATGCGAGAGAAAACAAAACACGCAAATTACAAACACACAGCAGCGACAACAACAGTTGCTACTGCTCCAACCAACTACAAGAACAATAGGAAGCAGGCGTGCATTTTATAAACACAAACAAACTGAAAGGGGATTAGGGACAGGGATACGAGCGAATAGACGAAACGAACAACGGGAGTGGGCACGGGCGGCGTAGCGGTATCAAAATGCAGTCTACGCGTGAGGCGGCATTGCCGCCTCAAGTCGACGTCGGCATCGGCACCGACGTCGACGTCGCTGTTGCTGTCGTTGGGCATAACCACAACATTGCGGGACGCGAATGCCAGCAGCAGCAACAACAACAAGACACATATTGTTGTTATTTGGTGTCTTGGAGAAAATTCCACAACAAAACAGTTGTAAAATATGAGCAAAATATATATGTACATACATACACGGATATACAAGCATAAAAGTAGTGGCATGCGTACATACATATGTTTTTACTCAGGTATGTACAGTGGAAGGCTAAGTGTGGAAAGGGTGGGCGTAAGCGTGGGCGTCAGCACCCAAATAATGACGAATAACAAAAACAACTCGGCCATGAGAAGAACAGTAAAAAGTGCAAGCAAGCACTCTGTGTGAGTGTGTCTGTGTGTGTGTGGGTGTGAGGGCTGAACAAGGAATAGGAATAGACTTTTATGTTGCGCTAGAAAATATATTAAAATGTATGCAATTTGACAGTATAATAAAAATAAATAGAGTTTACCTACACAGCTAAAACGAGAATATTCAATTCCTACTGCGTACGGAATTGTATTTATTTTATAGAAATAACAGCACAAGCAAATGAAAACAGGAGCAACTAAAACAATACTGCTGCTTGGCATTTTGTTTTGATAACTCTGACACACAGCAAAAACAACAACAGCAGCAGCGGCAGCAGCAGCAGCAGCAGCAACAACAACATAAAACAAATGAAAACCACAGGCGCAAGTAAAAATAAAAACAAAAGCACACAAGGAAAACGAACAGCAAACGAATCACAATCAACATACACATGCATGTACACACATACACACAATGTGTTTTATTTACATATATACATGTACATACATACACATTCACATATACGCATACATGCATGAGAGGGGCGCAAGACAGGCCACGGGGCAACCACAAACCAAAACATCACAACAACGGCAACGGCAACGGCAACGACGACGTCGACGTCGACGACGGCAAGTGCTACGCGCATTTTGCCGTGCAAAACAAACATTTCATCAGACTAAAACAGAGCATGTGAGCGACAACGGCGACGAAATGTCAGCAGCGCTCGTTCCCCTCAACGGCAACGAAAGCTTGCTGCTGCTGTTGCTGCTGCTGCTGTTGCTGCTTGCTTTCTTGGCGCGACAAAGTAAATACATAAAAACAACTCACGCACACACAGTACATTATTTAAATACGCACACATATGCATATGCACAGATTCTCTCGTAACTCAGGGCAATACCTCACGCATACAGCCGCAAGTTCCTAAGAAAAATTTATGCGTAAAATTTTAATTCTGTTTTGATCGTCAACAACAAAACACACCGACACACACTCGCACACAGCCAAAGACAAAAATGATACGAACAACGATTGTTCGAGAGAGAGAGAAAGAGACAGAGAGAGAGATGGATAGTCGAGGTAAATGCTGTTCGCTCTCTCGCTGTCGGCAGCTGAAACAGCAAGTCACTTGCGCACATGGCGTTTCATTGGACTCTCAGTCTCAGCGTATTCAGCACACAGTTAACTTTGCGCTTTTGATTGAAATTAACACCCGAGTGACAGCAGAGAGTGGCGTGTGTATATGTGTGTGTGTGTGTGGGGTGACTGCTGCAAAGCTAATGTAACTTTCAAATGAAAATATTGAAAAATACATATTATTCGTATACATGTATTTTTAATTTTATAAATAAAACTTATACAAAAATCCCCTTCTTATGTTTCATTCATAATCATAAACATTATTGGGTTAATAACAAATCTTTATCATCCTTTGCTATTCATAAATTTTTGGCGATAAGCATACTTGTTTTCTTTCATTCTATCAATAATCAATGAAGGCCTACGCACACATATACATATGCACTTAGATAACTATGTGTGTATGCACATGGGCCTGATTCACACCCCTTGGCCAGCCATGGGTTATACAATAGGTCCGCTTGGCTAGTCAATGGTCACACACACCACATTCGCTCTCCTCTCTCGCTCTCTCTGCTGTGTTTCGCGGTTTGTTTGTCACCGTGCTTATGCCGATGTCATTGGAACAAATGCTTACGCATTCGGTTATTTTTTGCGCTGATTACTCACCGCTCCGAAATACTTCAGCTCTTTGGTTTTGATGCGTCTGTGCTGCGATGCAGGCATCGCCGCTCCAGATGCTGTTGTTGTGGCACCAGTTGCACACCCCATCGGGCCGGTGGCTCCACCATTGGCCGCTGCAGCGATGGTGCTGTTCTCGTAAGCAGCAGCAGCGACCGCTGCAGCGGCCAGTCCATTCAGTCCATTGTGCGTCGTGCTGGACGATGACGAGGCGGCACTGCTGCCCATGCCAGCGCCGGCTGGCAATCCGCTCAGGCTGCCGCCGCCAGCTTCCATGAAATCGAAACGCTTGAAGGCATACCACTTGGACGGATTCGGCTGTATGCCCTGATAGATTTTCACAAACATTTTGTGCTTCTCGCGCCTGTACTGTGTCAGCAGCACGTTCATCTTGCGCTCCACCTCAGCCTTGCTGCAGCCGAATCGCTCCGCAATCTCCGACCACGCCCGGAACCGACACAGTTTGTCCTTGTACTTGGGATCGGCCCGATTCCACAGTTCCGTATGGCAGCGATACTGTTCAATTAACTCCAAGGCATCGTCGTTGGTCCATTCCATGATTTTAGGTGAACTGCTACCACCTCCGCCGCTGCCGCTGCCGCCGCCACCAGCCCCGCTTCCACCGACACTGCTCCTACCACTGCCCGACCCGATACTGATCTCGATCCCGTAACTGGGCGGCAGTGGTATATTGTGATGCTGCAGGTGCTGCTGCTGCTGCTCTGGCTGATGGCAAGGATGATGAGAGTTCTGGACGGTTGCAGCTGCTGTGGCTACAAAACTCTCTGGATTGAAGTTCATTTGCTGTCTCAAGCAAAAGTCACTTGAATCTTTCACTCTCTCTCTCTCTCTCTCTCTCTCTCTCTCTCTCTCTCTCTCTCGCTCTCTCTCTTTATTGGATTTATTTTGCTTATTTATTCGGTGGGTTTTTTCCCTTGGCTTAATAAGCTTTCTAAGGTTTTCCTTTTCTCAGTTTCTGTTCCGTTTCTCTGGTTCTAGTTTATGGAATGCAACGCGAAATGCATTCAATCAACATTTTATTAACTGATCTTTGTTGATAAGCTCGCAACACTGAAATCGAAGGAAATAACTTCAATTTAGTAATTCATTTAATTGTATTAGTTTATTTTCACTTATTTATATATTTTTGCGAATCTTGACCTCAATTGTTGTTATTCTAAACAAATGAAAGTCTCATAATCATTTATATAATCATTATATTTTTTAGTCTTTCATTTCTCGTTTGGAAATCAGTGTGATTTAATCTTTGATTAGAGCATACTATAGAAAATATATTAAAATCTTTAGAGGCATAGACTTTACGACTTGTTTGGCTAGAGATAGCCAAGAATAATACAAATTAATCGGGAGTACCTGACTAGAAGATGCATGCACTCACTCCTGCTGTTCTACGTACATACATACATGTACATATGTATGTATCTGAAAATCTTTGGAGATTGTTTAATTCGGATATAGCAATGCAATCTATTCATATTTATAGATAAAAAGGAAATAGATTTTGTTATCAAGAATTTAGGTAATAATAATATATACAGATTTTAATGTCTTATTTTTTTTTTTTTTTTATATTTGTATATTTTTTAATATATTTATANACGGACAGACGGACAGACGGACAGACGGACGGACGGACAGACGGACAGACGGACAGACGGACAGACAGACAGACGGACAGGGCTAAATCGACTCAGCTCGTCGCCCTGATCAAGAATATATATACTTTGTGGGGTCTGCCACGCCTCCTTCTGCCTGTTACATACATTTCAACAAAACCATTATACCCTGATTTCCCATTTTCAATGGGTTCAGGGTATAAAAAAATAGACATATAATTAACATAAATGCTCTTCTTGAATTAGTCAACAGAATTATATGTATATTCAATAGAGTTACGAAATCTATTTACGGTCTCTGCTTTATTTGTTTTTGCTTAGAAATGCATTATTTGTTAAGCAATAATAGACTAGATAAGCGGAAATGAATTATCTAAAGAGCCGAACCCGTATGCAATTCTGATCATAATTCACACTTGATTTCTTTGTTGATTTCCATTGTACACATACAAACATACATATGTATCATTCTATAATTAATTGCTTATTCAGCGAAGAGGAAAAATAAACATTTCAAGTATCTTGCACTTGTTTTTCCTGGCCATCGATTAACATTTTCAAAAGAAATTCTCGGTGACGAGGAAAACGTTTGCGCCAAATGTCACAAGTCACAGCGAAAATAAAAGCATCGATAACAGTCCAGTTATTCACAATAGACGGAAGCTTTTTTTGCACAGAAAACACACAACACACATAGACACACTCACACACACGCACCCGCGCACACACACACACACACACGCGCAAGCATAATTGAGCAGGGACACGTGCGCTTTCATTCGTTTCAACTGCGCGACGGACTATGTGCACACGCACGCACACACAGGCACACGCTGTCATGGGTGTGTGTGTGTGAGTGAGCGACATCTCGATTTGACATCTATCTTTGTCGCCCGATTTGCTTCCTGGTAAGTCGTTCGTATTCGGTCGTTTGCTCGTTCGTTCGCTTGTTTGCTTTGGTGTCGCGACGACAATTTGCTTGATAATTTAGCTTAGCACGCATTGCATTTAATACAAATGTTTTTTTAGTACACGTATTATTGCGTTGCTCAGAACTTTTTGCGCAGAGCGCAAAGTGCTGCTGTTGCTACTGCTGCTGCGCAAACAGCTGAATGAATCATAACGGTAAGAGCGAACACACAAACAAGGCACACACACACACACACACACACACACACACACATGTGCATTTAACGGGGAAAAACAATGGACTTTGTAGGTGCACAGTATTTTATTTTAATTTTATTGAGCTGGCTTTTAAATGTAATTTTCCTTTTTTATTTTAATTTTTTTAATTTCTGTTTCGTTTCTTTACTTGAATTCAATTTAGCTGATTCAGCTTTCGTTTATATATTTGTTTTCGTTGTTTTTTAAGCGCTTTTTAGGCCATTTCTTGTTGGTCTTATCGATTCTTTTAACCTTGTTTTCCAAATAATTTGTTTTTTTTTTTTATGTTTACAATTATTTTGCGTTCTCTGTTTTTGAAAGTAGCATAGTTTTAAGGGACTCGTTAAGTAACTTGCTGGGAATTCACTTCCATTTGGCATGGGATTTTTCWCACATTTATTTATTTACGTGTTAAATTTTTTATTATTCGTATTTATTTCCGTGGATTTCATAGGAAATTGAATGGTATTTGGGTTTTTTTTTTCTTAATATGAGAGGCTTTTTATTACAGCTTCCTATTGGATTGTTGTTCATTTTTTTTTTTTTTTTTTTTTTTTTTTTTTTTTTTTATTTTTTTTTTTTTTTAATAAAAATTTGTAGTTTTTATATTCAATCACAGCTTTACACACAAATATTATTATTTTTTTATATTTGTATATTTTGTTAAAATATATTTCACTTTACATACTTATAGTTTTTATGATTCATCACTAGTTAGTTATTATTTGACTACATTAATTATTTAAAAATGTACAATTTTGTAAAACATTTTCATACGAATTCACATAATAAACATTTGTGGGCCTCTGACAATTTCGAAAATAACGAAAAATAGGAACAAATTGAACTCAAACATCGCAAAAAGTAAACAACATAAAAATCGGATCAAAAACTTAAAAATAAATTTCAAGGCACGTAAAAAACGAACTGCAAACACTCACACACACACACAAACACGTAAACACGCACGCACACGCACAAACAGCAAGCGAGATAGTAAATAAAAATAATATTATGGTATATATATGTACATACATATA